AGTGTTGAGGAATGTGCTGCGCAATCAACCTGTATTAGGTTGTAGGATAGATCATAGATGGGCATACATGCATGCATCCAGGTGCCAATAGCACAAATATCAGAACCATCACCATCATGCCTATCAGCTTTTTCTTTTCTTCTCTTTTCCTTTTATTTACTAATTACTTGTATCGTTCATTTACTCCAAATTAGCTTATTTGATAACTATGAATAAAAAAAGNGATGGTTACATCCTTAGAGAAGATAGTACGTCCATCAGATATGACTGATCACGTCTCATCAACATATATTAAGACAAGTAGAACTGTTGGTGATTGGGATTCCCAACCCTATACCACCAACCTTTGTGTACCTCAACCCTTCCCAGTCGCAGGATAATCTGCAGCCACAAATTTTATTGAATTTTGATAAATCAAATAGAAAACTGCATTAGCTTAGAATCACAAAAGAAACAATTAATAAATTCATCAATAGAAAAAAAAAAAGAATAGTCAGTGGAGACTGTCTCACTCGCAACTGGCTGCTTTTTGAAGTCAAGGAGACTCACTCACAGTGGTAAGAATCGTTGAAGGAAGGGTCCATGCATGCATGGAATTGCAAGTTAAATTATTAAATTAAGCATATTATAGTATTAGTGGCCGACTCTACAGATCAAATACAAATATAAGGTTTTGCACAGTATATATCTGGATTTGATCTGTTGTGTAATATAAGGTTTTGCACTCCACAAATACATTGATGAATATATACAAATACATTATATTTAGGGAAAGAGTACAAATACAAATATATACTGTACAACATACAAAATAAAGGTTTTGCACTTTATAAATTTGTATTTATATTCCTTCTAAACTGAGTCTTAAATACACATATGTAAAATGTACAACCTTATATTTTGTATTATTTTATATATATTTATATTGTTAATATTTGTATATTTGTACTCTTTCCAAACTGAACCTTAATAATTTAAATGTGCTTCCACTTTTTGCATATATTCATCAAAGTATGGAGTGTGGACGATGATCTTCATGTCTCGCATTCGCATTTGTAATCTGATCTTTGAAGTTGAATGAATTTAGCCTAGCCTACCTAATTAAGGGCTTTTCTTCTAACATATAAAATTATAAATCAACTCAGCAGGAACACTTCAGCCGTTTAATCCCTAAATCAATCCAAATTGTTCTTGTAGAAGACCCTCTCTGGATTGGCTACATGTTCACTGTTAATACCCCTCCCCCTTCGCATTAGTTTTTTTTTTTTTTTTTTCTTTCTGTGATCATAATAGTCGTTCTGACCTTCAGAATTTTAATATAGATAGGAAAAGAGAAGTCACAAAGGAGGAGGGGTGTTACTGAGGGAAAAGTTGTTGAGACTGAAATTTAGGAAACATTTGTTTTGATGAAAGGTGGAGTGAGCATTAGGACACCAAAAGAAGTGTGTGTTGCCTCCTGGAACTAAAAGATTCAGATTTGGTTTAAAGTAGTATTTATGGAATCCGTGTTTGTATTGTATTTGTATACTCAAATAAATATTAACAGAGTAGAGAGAGAGAGATTGAAAGGGTGGAAGTGGAAGGGGAAGGGGAAGTACAAAAATGCATTCAAAACTCAAGTAGCGTGCATATAAACCTGACACATTCCTTCACACGCACCATGCATGCATTCAACACAAAAACCCCACACTCACATGCATGGACTGACACATCCACTCATTAGATCACATGCTCATGCAAATACACTACGGTATAGCCAGTACCCCCCTCCACTACTACGTCTCTCTGTCTCTCTCTTTCTAGTAGTCTACAGACTCTACACTCCACACCAGGAGGAGGAAGAGGAGTGAGGAGAGGGACGAATGGAGTTAAATGTTTAATCACACAACAGTGTTATTTATGGAGGGTGATGATGATGTAATTGATGATGGGATGATGACGACCCAGTTTGAGAGGACAACTTCTTTATATCCTCTACTTAGTTGTTGCTTTCGATGTAATAGCATATATATGGTGGGTGGGGACTGGGAGAGGGAGAGGCCAACACCACACTAAAACCAAAACCATTTTTGTGTGTAACCATATATGGTGGGTGGGGACATGACATTAGAAATTTAAAGCACAGACACATATATATAAATGGGTCCCCTTTAATCTGTACGGTCCTATTTATATTGCGTGGACTGTGATACATCCAATCAATGCCCCCCCCCCCCTTCTCTCTCTCTCTCTCTCTCACTCCCTTATTTGACCCATGCCATGCATTACGTGTGTACATGCTCCCATCTTCTTCCTTCCTTTTTTCCAGGGGGACTGGTTGTTGGCTTTTACTCGCTATTGCCAGTGCCATTGACAAGTGACCTCCCAATAAGTAGTATTACCTTTAAATAATTATCACCGATCGGCTAGGCTTAATTAGCTGCTTCCCCTTTTTCTACTCCAAAATGGCAAAATCAAAGGGTATTGTCATCTGGGCGGATACAGGATTGAAGAGTAGTTATTTCAGCAAATCCAAGGCACCCCGCCCGCCCTCGGCTATCTGTGGAGTGTGCGATCGACTGTGGACAGAATTAAACGATATACTCGCAAATGCAGTAGACCTCACCTAGCTGCTAGCATGCATAGTCTACATACATAAAAGGCCCATCCATCTCAATTTAAATGGGTTACTTCCAGTCAGATCACACGTACTGGGTCTGGACTCATCAATTTAGATGTTGATTGTTTCATATAAATTAATTTGCCTATAGTTATTAATGTGTAAATTAAATAACAAAAGTGAAAATTAAAAAAGGGGAAACTGTTGAAGAATTAAATGAACTAGTCCCTCTCCTTGTGTGCAAACAGGACACATGCATATAACATGGATGATGGGTCCATTTTTAGTTAGTGAAGTTGTGTCCTAGCTAGTTACCCTACAAGTTTTTTATTGCCCTCCAGCGTTTTCTCTGCTTTCTGAAGATTTGAATGAATGCGCAGATCAATAGGCGTACGTCCGATACAATTTTTTTTTCAGCCAAAAAGCTAAATTCCGCACCGCAGCTGGTACAATACAACCACGAAACAACATCCCGCCTTGCGCGACCACTCTCCTTATTATATACCCAGCTGAGATGCCAGTTGGGGTTTGTTGGAATGCTTACATTAACAATTACAATTACAGAGTTAAGGACTTAAGAGGGAGGGAAGAGATATCTACAACTACAATCTTGAGCTTGATATATCCTTCCTTCGGGGTTCGGGGTGACTTTTTCTTTCGTTTTAAACCGGCGGCCTTTTTGATTTCCTTTATTTGTTTATTTCTTCGGCCGGGAGGGGGCGGGCAGCAAACATATCTCCGTCAAACCTCGCTTCTTCCTTCCTCCCATGCCCATCCAGAGACCTCTCCACGACGCTCTGCAGTCTGCACCGCCAATGTCTGTGGCTCTGTGCTCCTTCCTTTTTAATTATTTTTCTCTCTTCGACACTCAACTGAAAAGGAAGAGGGGGACGAGGAAGGATGAATTTTTTTAATTAAACTATCATTTTCATTCATTGCAAAGTTTCCAGTTAAAGCATGATCGACGATAGACGAATTAATAAATGGATAAAGACCCCTCGTTTCTTGAAAAACTACGCATTGCAGAGAGAGAGAGAGAGAGAGAGAGAGAGCAACTAGCAAGCACGTTTGATGGGCTGGAAAGAAGGCAATCAGCTTTTCAGGGAGAAGATGCAGCGCTTCGCCATTAAATATGATTCCTTTGAACACTGTTATACAACAGTCCCTTTCTTGTTTACAATAACAATTTTTTATAAAATTAATTAAAAAGCTCAGTCACGGCACGACTGCTCGAAAACTCAACAGAGAAACAGAGCGAGAGAGTTTTGACAATTCCGAAGCCGTACAGTTTTTCAGGAATGGGTGGGAGAGAGCACATGCCTTACAAAACACGGCCACGTCGGTGTGTTTCGATTCCCCGGTCTGGGCTTTATTTGTTTATAACTACCAAAGGCGGGTATCTGTGTTAGTTGTTTAAAATTTTGAATTGTTGTAGGTCTACAATTGAATTCAAAATTCTGATGGAGTGCAGTCTATTTATCCCTATATATTATTACTATTTCGCTCGCTTCCTCTTTTAAGTTTTAAATTTATTATATGATATCCTACGTATTTTTAGAAGATTCCAATACGACTGAATTCAATTCATTCAAGAGTTGAAGTCTGATTTGTACCCAACAATAGAGTATTAGCACGGTAGGAGGAGTGGAGGACGGAGCAAAGATGCTTTGTAGTTAGTTATAGCCAAGCCATGAATGAAGCCAACCTGTGTTGCGTTGTGCACCGAATTCTAGCTTTGTATATCTGAGAAAAGCAGAAAACAAGCACTCCAAATATATGCGGTATTTGATTGATTCTGATCAAACACAAATAGTTCCTACTTCCTACTGTCTACAAAACGGCAGACTTTGACTTTCTTCCATCTTTATTAATTGATGGGACCTTATGGTCATTACCACGCCTAGCCAGTTACGTTGAAATTTCAAAATTAAAAGAAAATGGGATCCCTACTCTCCCCCAGAGGCCAAAACCAGACAGACACGCACAGAGAGAGAGAGCTCAGACGTGCTGCTGCTCTAACTTCTAAGCGTTTGCTTCGTTTTTCTGCCTTTACATAATCGAGCTTTATTCTGTCTTTCCGGGTTTATATAAGTTGTTCGTCCAGCTTCAGCCCTTTTCAACTTTTAAAAGGACCTTTTGGTGAAATTCTTAAAAGTAAGAGCTTTTACAGTAATTTTGTCCTTGACACCTGGACCTGGTTATATATATGCCTCGTTTTCTTTAACAACAAGTGTATTTTCTTTTACTACAAGTGTATTTTCTTTTGTATATTCCTATTTTCTATTTTATTAATTAAATAAAAAGGAACAAAATAGCAGGCAGTAGGAGTACTATTGAACAGAACACCCTTAGTAATATTAATAATTACTTGTATTAAAATGAACATAGCCGATGACCACTCTCTCTCTCTCTCTCTCTGTGAATACTGAATAGAACTATTTCATCTCTCCTACAGAGTTTCCATACAAACAGAATTAATTGAAAGCTGAGAATTGCACGGTTTTTTCTTCTTCTCGTCTGTTATCTTCATCAGATAAATGAGAGATGAAATAACGATGCCCGATGCATGTTTCGTTCATGGATACCTACTTCTCTGTAGCCCTTGTTCCCGGTTCAAATTATTCGCGACGTGATAATCACCATGGCAACGAGAAATCCCCTTTCCTCGTCTGAAAAATCCTTCCTGAAAGTTCCCATCGATGGGATTGAAGACAAAACACAAGAGAGAAATCGACGCCGGCTATTTTGTTTGCTCGGTACTCCGAAATGACCATGATTCCTTCTCAAACCCTTTTTAATCATCAACACTACGACGGTTATGGTGGTGGGGGTGGTTGCAGAGAAAATTGTTATACGGGGAGTTGCGTTGGTCTTATGAGCCGAATATCAGGGTATGACCCTTGTAACCAAGCGTGCTTAGGATCCGAATCCGATCTGGTGGTCGGTCAAATGGCYGAAGACGACTCCAGAACCAGTAGCCTCAACGAAGCCGGCTCCAGCTCCAAGGATTTCCAACAAGATCAGAGAGACGAAGGTTGGCTTCAGCTGGGAATCGGTGATTACGTGACGGGACGAACCGAGTTTAAGCATAATCAGATGGAACCAACCACTCCAACAGTCAGATTGGTGGAGCTCGATCTATTACCACCCAGCGGCAGCGGCGGCGGCAGTAGTATTAGCAGCAGCACACAACAAGTTAAACCATTATTAAATCCTTTCTTCCATATGAACGAGTTTAGAGGTCATCGTCCAAGCAGTTCTAGTGGTGGTACCAGTATCATCGGTACGCCTTTGTTCTTGCCGCACCCGAGGACCAGTTTGAGTTTTCCTCAACCTGAGGTCCCATGGGGATATAGGCCTAACCGATGGAATCCAACAGCTTCATCCTCTTCTTGTTCTCCGATGCTGTTGCCTGCAACTTATTACGCCCGACAGTTTCAACAACCGGCTTTAGACGTTGCCGGTCCGAGCTCAGATGTTAGAGTCGTCGAGGCTCCTCCGAGAACGCAATCCGGTGTTTGGTTTATTCTCCAAGCATCACAAAATCAGTAAGTACTAAGTAGATGGAAGAATCAGATCATGAAGAAATAATGGAAGAAACCCAAGACCCTATTCTCTCATTCGTTTTTTTATTTAGTGTCGTTTCTAATTAATCTATTGCACCTTGCTACTCAATGCAGAGCAAGAGAACCCTTCTTGCCTCAGATACCCAAGAGCTACCTAAGAATCAAGTAAGTCTGTTACTTTTTCTTTCTTTCTTTTCCCTCCTTATCTGTATGTCTGTGCTTTATGTTAATTTCCTGAAAGGAAAACCGTGGTTATTGGTTAAAACAACTCCTCGTCTAATCAACAGCATTTATACCTTCCCAATCTTGTCTTCTACTGAGATGGGAGAATGACAGTTCGATTGTTGATGAAATATCTGGTTAACAAGCTCAAACTAGAAAACGAATCAGAGGTACTTAAAACCATCTTTGCATCTGTTTTACTTCTAAATGCTTATAGAATTAATGGTTGGTTTGGTACCATGTCGCCATATTTTTTTATTTACTTTTAGCTATTTGCATATTAAAATCACAACTCACGAATGCAAAATTGACAAAACATTAGTTACCCTTACAGGAGAGGAGAGCACAAAAGTAGTGACAAAACAAACCATCACTTCAACTAATAGTTACATGTTCCTTGCATATTGAATTAATCTAACATGGTGGCCGGACATGAAAGAAACTTCAAAACTAAAAGGAGGTTTTCTCCGGTGACAATATTACTGATTATTTGTTCCGAAAACATCAATTTTAGGTGGCATGTAAATTTCTAAGTGAGCTTCAGTCTGTTTTATTCGGCCTTGAAGTAGGTGATGATTGAGTAATGAAGAAAACTGATTTTCCTTCGATATACCGATATTGTTTAGGTATAAGGGGTTCAGTGGGAGAAGTAGTGTGAGCTTTTACTGTTTTCATCAGTCCATTATATACAGGAAAGTAATTTTTTTCTTATTAACTGGAAGAAGAGCGAGGACTAAGGAGGAATTAATACTACAGAATTATTTTTATCAACAATGTTTCGTTGATTAGTAGACAGAATACATCAAAGAACACTTCCACAATATATTTGGAAATTGAATACACAAAGAAAGTAGATAAAGCAAAAAGTAGGGAAAACAAAGAACACAATTAATTAAGCATTGGGTATCTAGCAGTAGAGCTCCTAAGAAATCCAGTTAAATCATGGCACATACGTACATTGGCAGGCCATAGCCATATTTACGGCTAATTAGTAACCCCCAGACCAACACCAACCTCATAAATAGAAGTTTAAAATTCATGAGAATATTAAAAAAAAAAATCGTTTACCTGTGAATTCTTGGAAATTACAAAACCTGTATTACATGAGAAGCCTCATATCAAGATGGCTGTCGGTTGAAAGATAAGAAGATTTAACTCAACTGTGCTGTGATATATAGGATTGGGGTTTCTTTTACCTAGTGGCAACTTTACAGTTTTAGGGGTATATGGACACTGTGAATCAATTAGTTTGTGTAGTTCATCACAGCCAGGTACGTACTACATGTTCTAGCTCTACACTGCGACCACATTAAGGAGCTTAACTTTTCCTTCTTACTATTTAGTAGAAATTCTACTACATTTCTATGTCCTTAGCTTAGCCTACCCCTCTTCTTTTATTTTCCTACTATTGGTATCATTTCTCTAACAGTCCAGATGGGAAAAGATCAACCTTAGCAAATCCTGTATTATTTGTTGGTTTATGAGTACTCTTCAGCAGTTCACGCTCAGTGGAAACTGCATAAATGCAACATTTAAGTGAAGATTGATGCATGTTCGGATAAGGAAATTAGAAGAGAAGAAAAAAAAAATTGAGAAGAAGTTAAAAGCCGAATCTAAGAATGCATATATGATGTGAAATCTCCATTCATTCAAATGTATCTAGAGTTTTTTTTTTTTTTGATATACAAACGTATTTAGAGTAGAGTATTTAAACAATAGTAATCAAGCAGTAAAACCTAAAACATGTAAACAAGGTTTAGATGATTAGTTACAATCTTGTGTAGAATTTCTTTATTTTTTATTTCTGGCTTCACCAAACCACCCCTTACAAGGAGAAATTTGAATAGAAGGTAGCATCCATCCGTGTACAAGTAGTTACATATTGAAGGGAATTGAAATGAGTTAGAAAGAGTTTGATTGCCCCTTTAGGAATCTTCTTGCTGTTAGGTATTGTTTCCATCACAAACACGTGAGCCAGGACTCACGTTAACTTCCTTTTCCTCAACACAAGGAACTTTCCTTGTGAAACAGATAGATAAACATCTCTCTCTCTCTCTCTCTCTCTCAGAGCTACATATCCAACCCCATAAGTTTGTCAAGAGAGAAGAATCCTATAATAATAATTTCTACGATGGAGTTGTTAAAGAGAATTAAGTTACATTAATATACCTAGGAATAAGCAAGGGAAATTAAAGAATAGAATGAAAATGGGCATATTCAGGAAGCATTCCTCTCACACCTAAATTATTATAAATGTATATTTTATTTACGAGTGATAGGGTTGCAATTTTTCAATAGTTGATGAGAATAAAAGTGGTTTAACTGCAGGTTAGGATGTAATGTTGTGCACATACACTCAACATTCCAGTTTTGTCTTTCTGTTTATTTTATTACATATAATATCATCTTAAAGCATGAATTTGGTACAATTTGTTATTAAGGTCAACTCTTCCTTAAGCAATGAATTTGGTGATCTCTTCTCTCTCCCTCTCCCTCTCCCTCTCCTTCTCTCGACATGAATCATGACTCATGAATGCATGGGGACATGAATTTTGAACATAGTAGGTTGTATATGTTGCCATGTTTGTAGGGCCGCTAAAAAATAAATAAGTTTGTACCTTTCACATCTGGCATGCAACTAAGTGCCCAATCATTAGATTTATAAGTGCATTTCAAACATGACATCCATCCATGAAACCAACCAATTTTAGTCTCCTAATTTGCTTGTCAATCGCCCCCTCTCTCTTTCTATGATCTCTTCTAGTTGTAGTTGGGACAATCTTTGTGGCTAATTTCTGTCATTCTAGTTTTACAGCTTCATGGTTTAGTAAATGAAATTTGATAATTCATAGTAGCTGTCATTAGTCTCCCAAAAAACAATCTTCTATGGATATTAAGAGCACTACATATGAAAATAAATCAATACTAATTAACCCAAAATAAACATAGGGATTAGTGTTCAATACATTAATTTGGTTGTGAATTAGTTTTCCCGACTATGAAATCATTCTTTATTTTTATAATTTATTTATTGGTATTTTATTTTCACATGCATATATATATACATGGAATGCATTGACTTTGGGCTCTAGAAAACACAGACACGCAGTGCCTTTGATTAGGGTGGCCCAGTTGTGAGTTGACAACACATTAACGTTCATATAGAAGAAAGCAAAAGTTTGGTTTTTTTTTTTTTGTTTTGTTTTTACGGAAATGTGATTATCCTACGGACAAGAATGTCACACGTGGAGCTTGTATTCTTGTTAACATACCATCTGCTTGCCTTAATACTTACAGCACCTTCCTTCCGTCACGCTTGCGCCCAATTCAACTTTAGCTACCTTTCGGGACAGCCAACGTTGTCCCTAGCTACTACCAACCCTCCCAAAGACCAAGAAGATATTGTGCTTCTTAAAATACAAGGCCCCATCCAAACCCTAAGTGCTGCACTTTGTTCGAATATTAATTAAAGACGACCATCATCTCATCCCCACCACTCACAACTCAACACCCTCGCCCAAGAATAATTAATTAAAGAGGAAATTAAATATGTACATATATATAAAACAAGTGAAAATTTTACGTTGGAAGAAAGCAATGCATGAATGAAGGATACAACACATCAGAATCATTCCAAGTTGGTAAGGAAGATGACTGGAGATGGAGGAGATATATGGTGTTTGTTCTTTAGTGACCAATAAAGCAAAGTTGTTTTCCCAAGCTTCTATCTTTCTTCTGGGGGGTGTTTTTATAGTTGAAAATATAAGAAAAGACAGGTTGATTCAAGCAGGATTATTGACCTCCTTTCTATCTTCGTTAACAAATTAGAAAAAAAAAAAAAAAGAATACACCAGACGCGTCTCTCTCTCTCTGAGAGAGCAACGTGAAGGAGACGTGCATGAGAGAGGTGTATGAAATGAAAACACATCACAACAAGATAAACCGTGCCGATTCCCCGCCGTGCTTTTTGGATCCGTCATTTATTTATTTTTATTTTAATTTTAGAATCGTTAGATTAAGCACAATAAAAAAGAAGAAAAGAAGGTATGGCATTATTATTATTATATAATATTAAAAAAGAAAAGTGTAGGGGAGGGGGGCGTTGTTCATAAATCATAATTCTGGCTTACGAGCAAAGTCTGGGTGGGTCCTATAATGATTACACCCGGGCAGTTTGAGATCGTGGAACGGGCAGGCCTCGAATGGTCGGTTTCCATCCATCGCTGACCGCCTGACCAAAAGATTACGACTGGGGAAAGAATCTCCTTGGATTGGATTGGATTGGATTGGAGTAAACACAGATATAAAAAGTTGGAGAGAGAGAGATGAGTCCCCATTTGTCCATTTCCATTTTGATAACGGGGTAAAGCACACGCCACGTACCAAACTGGACTACGTAAGATTGTCACAACCCATGACCTCATTAATATTTTTAGGTTAAGGCGAAATTTGTGTTTAATTATTTCGACGACCCTGACACTCCACGCTGCTGACTTTATTCCTACACCTCCATCTTCTCCGTGATGTATGTCTTCTGTATCTAAAGCTCTCAAATCGTTGTTTGATCACTTAGGCTTTCACTACCGTCCGATTTATTTATGATGAAAATGGCTATTAATTAAATTTCCCTTTCTTTCTTGATACATCATAATTGTATGTTGCTTTAAGTTAATTCTTTATGTGGCCTTATTTATTTATTTATTTGATAATTCTGAAATATGAACTGAAGCAGGTAGAGATAACATGTAGAGGGCAACAGCTTCTACCTTCCTTGACATTGCAACATGTACGAGATAACATATGGAGTTCCAGGGATGCCTTCACTTTGCTTTCAGATTCCTCAACTACAGATCATGTCATGATCCTACACTACGGTAGGACTAGCAGTGCTTAAATTCCTATATTTTATTTCTTTTTTATCCCAACTGCTCCCCAACACATGTTGTATTAAAAAAAAATATTGTAGAGCCCTCTTCTTCTCTATTTATTTTCTTCCTTTTTTTCTTTCTTTTTTTTGGTGTTTTCGTTTGTATTTTCTTATTTTTTTTTTTCATTGGCTTCTCTAATTTATTGAGGAGGAATTTGCTTGGAAATACACCAAGATTATATATCAGGGAGCCTCTTAGCTAGACGTAAATTAATTTATAAGACAAAACCACCTCAAAATGTATTTCCAAGTCATCACGGCTTGATATTTCGTTTATTTTTTTATCTACTAATTCCAATTTCGGTTACTGTGCTCATACTACGTATTCTGTTCTCTCTTTTTCAGTGTTATTTATCGTGAAAACAGGATCTGCTATTAAATAGAAATATGCCAAAAAATAAGGAAGGAAACACGATGATCTGTATAAAGAAATTGATGAAATGAAAATATATCATGTAAAAGTAGTGTTCTGAGTTCTCAGCGATAACTCGTATCAATAGAGTTAGAATCCACAATTTTTGCCTTTGCTATTTCATAATTTTCTGTGTTGTATTTAAAAGGACTTTTGCTTTCATTAATTACTTTAAAGGCTCGATTTGGGTCAGTTTATACATGCCGTAGATTGCAGGTTTAGAGGATGATCAATGGACATTTTCATCCACAGTAACGGGCACACTTGTGGATTGGGATTTGGATTTGGATTTGGATTTTGGACCAGGTAATTTTTTTATATTATATGCGATATGATTCATGGCAGAATATAGATAATAACCATATGGGATCCTAGTGCCTTTTAACTGTAGACTAGATTGTCTCAATGAGTTAAAATGATGAAATGCTTGCAGTTGTGCTCATCAGGTATCAATATATACCACCAAATTAAATAGAAAATCAGTGCTATTTGACCTAAATGGCAATTTGACCAGGGACAAGGCGGGAGTATGTATGTATGTATGACAGGGTGGGGCAAGGCAAAGTTGAGGATCCCCATTTCCTGCGGAGACGGGGATGGGGTTAAGATTTTTAGCCCCACCGGGGTTCTGGGCAGAGTCGAGGTGACAAATTTTAATTTGGGTCGGGTACGGGACAGGAAAAATCCGGCCCTACCCCACCCCATTGCCATTCGTAATTTGCAAGTAGGAATGAATGATCAAGGTAGAGTAGGTGAAATTCAGAAATCGCATTTCCTTGCAGGAAAAAGGATGGGGTTGGGATTTGTAGCCCCAGTGAAATTCGAGACAAGAATGAGATGGGGTATTTAAGTTCGGGGTCAGGGATGGATCATGCAAAACCCAATCCCACCCTGCTTCGTTTCCTGATGACCTACACTTAACTGCTCATCTGAAGATCAATCCCCATTTCTTTATACTTTTCATGGGAATCACAGAAATCCTAAAGCAATTCTAAGCAAATTGTTCTCTTGTTTGCATTACAAATGCACCCTTTATGCAACATTGTATCACTCAGGTGGCTCCTACACACTATCATTCATGGTGTGCAGTACTGTAGAATGGTGGCCTAACATTGATTATTACAATAATTTTATTTTTAGTATTAATTGAAAGCATTTCGAATTTTTACCACATCATCCTACTTTGACAATCTTCAGATGCTCATTGGAAAAATTAGCCCAATGAATTAAATCAAGAAAAGGGTTATGAAAAATAAGCAACTAACAATTAGCAACAAGCTCTTTTTTCGGAATTAATATCTATGGAATTCTCAAGTCTGAACCCGTTTTCACCCTTAGGCCCCGTTCATTTTTCGGTAAGTTACTTATCTGGGAAACATTTACCCGGGTAAGTGCATTTATCCATGTTCTTTTATTTCTCATGTAAATAAGGCAATGACCATTTTAGCCATAAAAAAACCATTGGGCATTTTTGTCCCATTCAAGTGTTGAAAACTTTCCCCCTAGGTGGGAAAGTTATTTACCCACCTAGAAGATGGGTATCACTTACCCGGGTAAGTAATACCAAGAAAATAAACTTTTCCTGATCCCTACATATCTGAAAAAAGAACATGGGATTCTTGGTCATAGAAACCAAAATCCCATTGACCAACTTTCCCCCCTCTCAGAATCCGAAAAAAGAACACCCCCCTTAAGTTTAACTGCCTATTTTATAATAATCTTAATTAAAAACCAAGCATGGGATAATTAGTTGGGTCTGGATGTAGTAGGCGCGTTAGGAAAGAACATTAAGTAAGCATTATTTATGTAAAAAAATAAAAAAATAAAAAAATAAAAAAACCTATTTCAGTTAATGCGCCTTTCTCTCAGCAAGGTTGGAGATGGAGAGAAATATGCATTAACTGGGATAGGTTTTCTTTTTTATTTTATTTTTATACAAATAATAAAATAATAGATAAACACCTAACGGAACAAAAACGTTTGGACGTAAGGCACCTAATAGCTGGAACATGTGTCACACAACTATTAGGTGCTTACTTAATGTGCTTTCCTAACGTGCCTACTACATCTGGACCCTAATTAGTTGTGTCCTGGACCTCCTGGTTTCTCAAGGACAGTTTCTCCTATTCAATTCAAGAGTATTCTAATTTTATCATTCCAACTAAATAGAATCCCATCTTATTTATCTTATTAGTATAACAAATAAAAGTTGAATATTGTTTTTCATAACTAATTTTATGAAATAGAACCCCAAACCTCATCTTTAAAAAATTAAAAAAAAAAAAAACTGATTATTAAAACAAAACCATGTAAGACTTGCTTGTGCAGTGTATTTATTGTTTTTCAAAGTGAAATCAGCTGTGAAACAAATTTTGTCTAGTGGTTTTAAGAACCCTCCATTTTATAGTCATCTTGAAGAACAGTTACCTTCCCATCAAGATGGCTTTGAATGATCAATGAATGGAGCTAGCCGTTACTAAACAGTCCTTTGCAAGGCCATTAAAACAAAAAGAAACGTTCTGAGCGTTTCTTTCTTTCTTTAATTCTAACAGTATATGGGCGCAGGAATGTTACTAATTAAGTCGTAAAAAATATCGTGCATTATTTAAATGGAGAATTGATAATGCCTATGCAACTACAAGCATGAGTGGTTGAAAGATGCCAGAATACTTGAGAGAGAGAGAGCTAACAATTTAACAAAGGTGGGAAGGTATTCATGGAAATGATTGGCACGTGTGAGTTGGATCTGAAATCATGTAATTAAATGGCCTGTGGTTGTTTTGTTAGGACTTAGGAAGAGATCATAGATAGGAGGACTTAGGAAGAGATCATAAAGTGGAGCCAAGTCAAAAACACAGAGCTAGCTCGAATTTCAATTTGACTTAATTATACTCGAGAGTTTTTCGAACTCGATCAGCTCGATTCGAGCCTATTATACCTCAATTAGTACGAAGCTGCATTTGACATTTCTGTTAAAATGCGCTTATGAACACCAAATTTTTAAAGAAATTAGTGTTAGACACAGGCGGCGACAAGGTGGAAATGGTAACAAGGGTCCAAAGTGAAAGAACATTTCTGGGAAAACCACGCGCGCGGAGTGCTGGAGCGCTCATAATCCTAATCATAAATTCTATCCATGTTTCAGACATATTGGGTAAATTGAATTTTAACAGATCGAGTGCTCTTTGTAGTTGCTGTACAAACAACTTTAACTTTGTATTTTTAAATTTTAATACTGGAAAGGGGTAGTCTGCAAATCTGCAATCTAAATCTAATGCAGTAGCTGGTCAAGATTTCCAAATGCCTGGGCCTGCCTGCCTGCAAATCTGTTGGACGGGTCACAGGTGTCACTTGTCAGCGAAAAATGATTATATGCTTACTTGGGGTTTGGATCCTCTCTTGTGCCAATTACCAAACATCAGCACATGCTGCCAATGTGTTCGAGATGATCCAAACATCCCCTGCGTTGCGTGCTTATTCAATGACTCGGATCTGCTCACAACAAAAAGTTGTACCAACTTCACTGATAAAAAAAAAAAAAACAAAAGTTGTACCAACTTGATCCGGTATCTACACAAGACCGGCTGCTGTCTCCAATTGACTGTCACACAGAAGTGGAAATCAATATTATCATTCTTTTCTATGATTAAACTGAGGTTTAAGGTATCAACCGATATGTATCGGTTTTTTAAGCTATCAGCCGATACGTCCCCATTTTTAGGACTATTAAATTCAAATTTGTTTACCTAATTCACTCATATTCTCTCATTAACCCCAACTCTTTCCTATTACCTCCTTTCTCATTATCTCTCTTCTCAACTACTCTTACAGTTCATTTGGGAGGGGTTCAGCTTAGATTGAGCTACTTTCACCGGGTTTCTCAAACTAGATTTGAATTGAAGAAGCTACTAAAGCCACTAGCTTCACCAGGAAGTCCATTTGATGACTAAACCAAAGTAGGAGTGTAAACAGATCAAGTTCAAATCAAACCAGATAATATTCGAATTCGAATCCGATTAGAAAATTCTAATACCCAAATTCGATTTAACATCTGATGGATATTAAAAATTAATATTCAAATATTTGATCTGATTTAATTTGAACCAATTAATTATTTTAAGTAATTAATAAATATATAAAATAAATATTTTATTTATATAAATATATAAATTAGTTGTGTAATTTAATTATTACATATATAAATTATATAAAACATTAAAATATTTCATATGTTATATATAAGAATTAAATAATAGGTCGAATTTGAATATTTATCGAATCAAATCAGGTTATTCGACCGGTTACATATTCGGATTATCCGAATTCAATTCGATTATATCAAATCTTGAATTCGAAATTGGATTTTCGGATATAGTTGACACCCCTAAACCAAAGCATATTGGAGTTTTCAAGGTTTTTCACCAAACATAATTTCTAGGCTCTCTATGAGGCCCACCTTGCAATGCCAAAAGCCACTGCATGAAAACCCTCCCAAATGGGTACTTAAATTCCTTATTCAATTCTTATATTATATCCAATAATCTAAGCAAAAGGGAGATTTGAACTTTGATATATATAAGTTGAGAAACAACAAATTTAGCACCATGCACACTTCACTACTACCATAAAGACTGGAACAATATTAGTTCGAGATTTTAATTTAAAATATTTTTCTTCTTAATGCATGCCTATAAACAAATTTTAAGAAACAATTAATTATTAAAATTTATATAATTAGAAATGTTAATAATATTTATATTAATTTTCAAAGGATCAACTCAATCAGGTTTACATGCATATCTTGGTTTCTATCATGATTCAACATTTCCCAATTATTTCTTGGTAATTCATACTAACAAAAATTATTTAAGTATATACATTCTGTTATAAATTCATATACCTCATTCATAGTTATCTAAAACCTAAATTCCATGTCATCGATGCAACTTTTGGGACTTTAAAAAAGTTTTCTCATTATATCCATGTATCATATCCTTTTTTTTCTCACTATCCATGCATATCCAAAGCTTACCCTGATACATTTCTTAAAATTACATTTTTTATCCTTTGAACCTACTTTGACGAACACTTCACCAAAAGATTGGCATCACCAACAGCGACCTTGCATGTCTTTTTCTTTTCTTTAGTCTCAGTTTGGAAAGAGTACAAATACATGCAAAATAATAGAAAATACAGTGTTTCTCATTCTGCATATTTGTACTTGTACTCCTTCCAAACTGAGCTTTAGGGTCAATTGATTGGCATCACCAGCAGTAACTTTGCATGTCTTTTTTTTATTCTTTTGGTAATGGTTGAAGTAGGATTTCTGATGTAGAGGTGATGATGGGCCAGGCCAAACCCAGTCTGAAATTGAATAGGATCACGCCTAGTCTGAGTCTGATACATCATATTTGTAGCGTACAGAGAGTTGCAACCAAGGTTCAAAGTATCGACACTTATCAGCCCGTATCGGATGATACGTATCATTCCGGGAGCTCTCTGACACAATCCTACAAAGGGTGTATCAGGATTCTGACCGGTTCAGGGGGTGAAAGAGCCTTAAACCGGCCCCTCTGAACCAGCTTTGAAAAAAAAATTAAAAAAAAAATTATCGATATCGCCCAATACATCCCCGCTGGCATATTGGGCGTATCGATATTTTGAACCTTGGTTGCAACAGAATTCTGTTGCCATGTATACTTGTGATCGGGTAGCTTGACCTGTTATGTGCGCAATTTGTGTGCTACAGATCTCGTAGCCCATAAAAAATAAATCTTTAATTAAGAAAATAAAAAATTAATTAGCGGTTAGGGCTGCAATTTGGGCGGGTTCAGCCGTTCAGGTTGAGCATCTGTGAGAAACTTCAAACTCTAAGAGGGTGTAAAATTCTTCAAATTGGGAACGCGACTTCCACCACCTTATTCACACTTATGAAAAAAAAGTGGGTAGTATAGATTTCAGTTTTATTAATGTGTGCATACATACATAGCTTTCAGGTTTATATATATAGGCATGTGTGCATAAACACCTATATATATTTTTTATAGATAGATAGAACTTCATATTAACTAGGTTACCAGTCAAAGAAATATTACATAATTTGTCCATTAACCAGGGTGAAGGATTGATTACCTTGCCACAACTGTTTAACAGTAAAAGATTTTGCCTTCTGAGCAACAAAATGAACTACTTAGTTAGACAATCTGGATATATGCACAAAACTAACTATATCCAAAAATTGTGCTAAAAAAACTTGATACCATCAACAAWATCTAAACATCCCCATGGAATGCAACCAGTTTCTCCAGCAATTGCTTTAATAGGTAACAGGGAGTCTGATTGAATCTCAAGCCTTTCCCATTCCTGCTCCTTTGAAAAAGACAAGGCATTAACCATAGCCAACAGCTCCAACTGAATTATACCTTGAGAAATACGAAACAAATTCCCCTGCAGCCACAGTGAAGACACCAGAATTAGTAAACCAAATAAAACCATGTGATCCTGAAGTATGATTACATATACCTGCATTATATTGAATAATATTTTATATATTCCTTACTATTGTCACATTCTAACTAAGCAAACAAAAATATTTTTGAGGAATAGAAGACTTGCTAATATTCTCATTAACTGTAACATTTAGTCTTCCTAACTCCTGAGAAGCCCTTAAAAACACTCAGAGTGTGACGACGAAGAATCCAGTCTGGATTTCTTTTAGTACCCTGAAAAATAATAACATTGCGAGCTTCCCAAATGTATTATAAGACAAGCTAACCATGCAAGAAGCTCCTCTTTATCCAATCCATTGGCTAGCAAATCTAGACTAATCTTAACAAAATCAGTTACCAAATAAAACATTGGTGAACTCTAATTCCCCAAGGGAAAGCAAACAGGACGGCTCTAATAAAATGACAGTCAMATAAAATATGATCCAAAAGTTTCCCTTGCTTCTTGACACAGATCCTATCTACCCTGATGTCCACACCATTAAGCACATCCCTTGATAATACAATGTATTGAAGCCCTTCTACATCACCATTGATTAAAAATAAAACCTATCAGAGAAAAGGAGGTATTTTCAATCTCTAACCC